AGATGGTCAACTTTAACACTTACTAGAGGTCCAATGATAACATACTAAATGTGTGAGGAAATCAGGGATTTTACATAACAATTCTAACTCGCAAAGCTGTAAAACAGGCAATACACCTTCAACAAATAATAAAGGATTTTCAAGGTTTACTTTTCTTTATTTTATAAATTTATCTCAAGCCATGAAAGGCAGCATCACGTATAAAATTCTCAGGCAACGATATATAAATCATGCCGAGGCGACGGCCCGCTCCAACAGAAATGAAATTTGCACTTGCCGAGGGTCGACGACGCGCCTATAGATGCATCTATTTAAGCTGCTGAGGCGTTCGGCCCGTTCCAAAATAATCACATAGAGACATTCAGTCAATAAGCCAACATGGGGCAATTATTCAAGGAAAGCTAATTCTCGTTATTAATTTAGGAAAAATGAAGTTTAAACCCTTTTTAGAAACTCGTTTACTGATTCGATGTAGTTTAAGCAGTTCAAGCTATCAATAGGTTGGTAAATAATTCCAGTATAGCATGCTTTTGGGTCCTAACTACCCGGACAATAGCATAATAGTAGCTACGCACGGACTCTCGTCACCTCGTGCGCACGTAATCCCCACAAATAGGAGCACATAATCAATTATTTCACCTATGGGGAAAATTCCCTCTCACAAGGTTAGAAAGGAGACTCACCTCGCTCCGAAGATCCATAACCGGCATTCTACGCCCTTCCGAAGATTCTAATTGATGCACCACTCTCCAAAACTAGCCAACGGTTACGCAAATCCATTAATATATGCCCATTTAATCATTACAATCTAATTTATAGAAATTCCTAACTCCGATCGAAAAGTTGACCAAAACGCCCTCGGGCTCACGTGCCCGGAATCCGAAATTTTTTGAAGATAAAGATTACCAATGACCTTAGGAACTCAAATATATAATTTTTACTAAATTCCATACTCAATATCGTGGTCAAATTCGAAGAAATGCCAATTTCAGGGTTTCCACCAAAACCTAAATTTTTCCATTTTTTCCTTGCCTAAATCCATGTATAAACTTTATATTTAACTCAAAGCTAGCATAAATTACTTACCTCATGATGAGTGACGACAATGGCACCTCAAAGCTGCTCCCCATCGACTCCAATGGAAGAAAAATGGGGTTGAAATGAACTCAACTTCGAACTTAAAAGACCTCACTGCTCCAGTTGTTTCCGCACCTGCGGTTCCTTGGCCGCTTCTGCGGTTCCGCAGGTGCGGTTAAAATGCCGCATCTGCGGTCTTTCCTGAGCCACCCCTTTCTCGCTTCTGCGACTTGCCACCCGCAGATGCGGTCCCGCTTCTGCGGAACTTTGACCGCATCTGCGGTCCTCTCCAAGATACCCCCATCCGCTTCTGCGACCCATTCTCCGCAGATGCGGTTCCGCTTCTGCGGTACTTGACCGCATCTGCGATCCTCAAGCCTTGGACCAAAACTCGCCTCTGCGGCTCCCTGTCCGCTTCTGCGGTGCCACTTCTGCGGCCAACCCACCGCAGAAGCAAAAATACCAGCAACCAGATTCCTTCAGCTGTCCACAAATCCAAATTTCGATCCGTTAACCGCCCGGAATCCACCCGGGGCCCCCGGGACCCCAACCAAACATACCAACCAATCCTAATACACATTACGGACTTGCTCGAGGCCTCAAATTGCATCAAACAACGCTAAAATCATGAATTACACCCCGATTCAAGCTTTATGAACTTCGAAATTTCAAGCTTCTACTTCCGATGTTTAAACCTATCAAATCACGTCCAATTGACCTCAAATTTTGCGTACAAGTCATATTCGACATTACGGACCTACTCCAACTTTCGGAATTGGATTCCGACCCCGATATCAAAAGGTCAACTTCCGGTCAAACTTCTCAAAACCTTCAAATTTCTATCTTTAGCCAAAAGACTCCAAAATGACCTACGGACCTCCGAATTCCCTTCCGATCGCGCTCCCAACTCCAGAATCATCATACGGAGCTATCCACATACTCGAAATCCCAAACGGACATCGATAACACTGAAATGCACTTCAAGCCAAACTTATGAAATTTCTTCAAAATGCTAACTTCTACAATAGACGCCAAAACGCTCCCGAGTTATCCAAAACCCGAATCGGGCATACGCCCAAGTCCGAAATCATCATACGAACATGCTGGGACCTTCAGATCCCGATTCCGAGGTCGTTTACTCAAAATTCCAACCCTAGTTCATTCTTTCAACTTTAAGCTTCGGAAATGAGAATTCTCTTTCCAATTCAACTCCGGACTTCCTGAAATTCAATTCCGACCACGCGCACAAGTCATAATACCCGAAATGAAGCTGCTCACGGCCTCAGGCTGCTGAGCGGAGTGTTAGAGCTCAAAACGACCGGTCGGGTCGTTACACAAAAGTAAGGATAATCATCAATAGAAACATATATATGTACATTCCAAGATTTTGGCAAGCATTTGCAACAAAAAAGATAGAAATAACCAACACTTGATTTTTCTTCAGAATTTTTACCTCCTATAGCAAAGGTTAACACCTTATTTATTTTAAATAAATACCATTTAAAAAATATTATATTCTATAGATACCTTTTAATGTTTATAGCAAAATATCTAATTTTGGTTCCTCCTACCCCTAAGCCACTAAATACGCTATTCAGTTACATTATTTTCTTTTTCTCTCTTATTTGATACATGTCATTCTCTTTCTCCCACAGAAAACTCGAGCTAGAGGTTATTAACGTTCTTGGTACCCAGTTTAACACCCCAAGAGGAAAAAGAATCGGAAGCAAATGCGGCCTTAACCAATCGGAGAGGGACTGTGGGTTAAGGAAGGGGCGGGTGGTAGGGTTACGGAGGTTGGTGGAAGAGGGGTTGGACATAGTGGGATTTCTGACGAATCGACGAGGGTTTAAAGGGAAAGAAATGAGTGGGGTGAATTTGCAGATAATAGAAGTAGTGGGGTTAGAAGAAGAGAAGAAAACGAAGAGAGAAAAGGCAGTGAAGATGAAGTCAGGGAAGGAGTCAACTCACATTCAGTTATGTGATTATTACATAATTATTGATTATTACATATTCTATGAGTTTGACATTTTGTTTTAGATATCTCCTCCGTCAACTCACATTCAGTTCTTCGTCCGTTTATTTTCCGGCGTCAACAAAACCCTAGTCCTTCACGCCCATTCCACCGACACAATTTTATCAGTTCACAGAAAAATCTTCCCTTCGGCATTTTTCATGTATTTCAATGTATCACGCTGTATTTTTTATGTATTTCATTATATTCATTGTCTTTTTTTCATTGTAATTCAATGTATCTCGTTGTATTCCATGTATTTCATTGTATTTACTGTCTTTTTTTCCATTGTATTTCAATGTATCCCGCTGTATTCTATGTATTTCATTGTATTCACTGTCTCACTATATGCCATGAATGTATTCATATATTTTTTTTAATTAATATAATTTATGTATTCAGATGTATTATATAATTTCTCTGAAGATTGCTATGTTTTTGGGTATTTTTTAGTTGAGAATCTTTTTTATAACTGAAAATACAAAATTTGTGTGTTATAATTGAGTTTGTTGAGTTATATTAGGAGTCTATTATGTTAATTGATTCACTTTCCGTTTAAAAATAGTGTAATCCCCTGTTTCAAGCCGTGAATACAGTCGAATACAATAATCTGTCCAGCTGTAATCCTATGTTTCATGCCATGAATACAGTCGAATACACTCGAATACAACAATTGATTAGCTGGACTTCCTTGATTCAAGCCTATTTTTGCTACTGTATTCATGAATACTGTAGCTTAAATACATCTAATACACCTTATAACTACAGAAAACGTATCTACAATCCGTAATATAGCAAATGGTATCTATAGATAGCTAATTACCACTAAAAGATAGTGCTTTATGAAAATTTCACTTTTTCTTCCTTCTATACCTCACATAAGGTATCCTCTAATATAGATCCAAAACATAACCCAATTAAAGCTAATAATAGAGATACATATCTTTCGTCTTAAAGCTTTTGAGTATTGCACAAAATGTTTCATGTGCAGAAGTGGCCTCAAAGTTAAATAACTTTCTTGGTCTTGAGTGAAGTATTAGTATTCTTACCAAGAAAGTACTATTACACAAATAATTCACTTCAAGAATAATCTAAGACGCATATAGGCATGAGTCAAGTTCGTACAATATCAATATAATCGCATGCTTGCTTGTCCTAATATCTTATGCAAATGACATGGTTCATGCAAGACATGTACTCATGCTATTTAAAGTCTCTACAAATAATTCCAAATAGAATAACAATGTGATGTAGCTAGTGGACTCGAAGTGTATATAGATGACTAATATGCATATACTAGGCTATACTTTACTAAACCAATAGCTGGATATGTATTACCTAATGCAATGAGAGGAACTTGAATAAACCTTAGTGATACCAGTCACTCTTTTAGATCATACGTCGTATTTCCTTCATCCTCTATTGAATATGTAAGAACTTTGAAGCAACTTTAAGTATGTTCCTCGACCATCCAATACGCAAACATCTTTTTTATGGATGGACTTAGAAATTCCTGCAATACAAATTAGTTCGTTTTTGGTACCCAAACCTTTTTGGGTCCTTCATGGTTAGTAGCTTGTATAATTGGAGATACATGTAACTGTTTAGGTCTCCAAATAAATTTTAATCTAACATGACTTTTGGCATAATTACATGCAAATGCCTTATGTCCAAAATTACCACAGTAGTGACATGTAACAAAAGAAGTAGAGTATTTACCAGCAGGTGCCTTAGTCAACTTGAAGCTTTCCTGAGTCGACTTGTTTGAAGTAGGGCGTCTACTAGTAGATCCCTTGTCAGTCAACTTGGAGTTATTAAGAAAATGAGCCCGCTTGTTTGGTCGATCAAAATGGTGACGGGAAGATATGTGCAAACTATTCATTTGTTTACGAAGTTCCACATTTTATTCTTAAAGTAAGTCATTTTCAACCTGATATTCTTCGAGTAGAATATCCCACTCTTCCTTTTCCTTTTTCAACTTGTTATATTCTTCAAGTTGGGTCTCCAAGTTTTTCTTCTCCCGTTTAGTCTTCATGAGCTCATCAAGAATTTTTCTCATATCTTCTAAAGCATGTTCTACGATACTTTGAAGTTCATTACATTTATCACAATCATAAAATCTTACCTCACTTGTTTCACTTAGGGCCATGATGCAATTGCTTATAGATTCCTCATGATCGTTGTCTGATATATCTTCATCACTCCAGATACCAAAAGATTTTCTTTTCTCACTTGTCTCACTTCGTGCCATGAAACAAAGGTTGGCAACTCCATTATGATTTTTATCTGGCATATATTCATCACTCCATACGCTGGAAGATTTTCTCTTTCGATTGCCTTTGGATAGTTTCCTTTTTAGTTCTGCACAGTTGGTTTGGATGTGACCATAATTTCCGTATTTGTAGCATTTTCTTTCATTGTTTTTCTGCTCACTTATTTCATTACCTTTTCTAAAACTTGAATTGACTCTTCCATTTTTCTTGCTTCTTCGTGTCGTGTTAGAGACAACTCGAGAAAATAATGCAATATCATCTTGATGTTTGTCTCCTTCTTCTTCGGCTTCACTTTCAGACTCAACAATAGTTGATTTAGATACAACACTCTTTTTCTTCTCTTCATGTTCATGCTTTTTGAGATGGGTTTGCTCAAAGGCTTTAAGGTCTCCACGAAGTTCATCATATGATAGTTTGTCGAGATCTCCGTATTCAAGAGCAACAACTTTTGGTTGCCATAAAGTGGGTAAACTTCTTAGAATCTTTCTAACTTGTTCACCACTTGAATATGGTCTTCCAAAGGATTTTAGATCTCCAGCTATTTTGCTAAATCGGCCAAACATGTCTTTAATGGATTCATCTTCCTTCATTTCAAACAACTCATAATCACGAATCAGACGGTTTATCCTTGTCTCTTTTACTTTACTGATACCTTCATAAGTAACTTCAAGTTTATCCCACATTTCTTTGGCTGTGTCACAACTTGATATTTTCTCAAATTCTTCTCCGCTTATAGCATTGTATAATAGATTTTTTGCCTTTGAATTTATCTGCACGATCGCTATATGCTCATCAGTATAATCATCAATATCAAGGGGTTCAGTAGATACATGTCCTTCTAGTTTCTTTTCTGGTTCGCCATACTTTGACATCATAAGATTTGATGAAAGTTTCCATTCGAGCTTTCCAGTGAGTGTAATACAGTCCATTGAAGTATGGTGGTCTTAATGCAGAAGTCCCCTCTTGGAGTAAGGCTCCGATAACTGTGTGTGCTGACATGATTTGTTCTCACTTGCTGTTAAGCAAAAGTAAAAATGTGAGACCTGCTCTGATACCAATTGAAAGTACAAGAGGGGGGGGGGGTGAATTGTAGCCTTTTTTAAATTTCTAGTCGACTACTCTTCAGACCTAGTCGACTTATGCAGAGACAGCCTGCACAGAGCTGTTAGTCCTTTCGATTTAAATAAGTGTTAATCACAATAAATAGTAAAGGAACAGAATATAATACGAGAGCGATAAAGTAAATGACACCAGGAATTTTATACTGGTTCGGAACCAATGTGGTATCCTAATCCAGTCCTCTTGGGTTGCAAGAGTGTTATCTTTTGGAGCTCTTTGTAAATTGAATTGAGTACAGCCTTTGTGATTTTCAACGATCACCACCAACACTGACAGGGTTGGGTTTCACTCGCTCACCAACAACGATCCTTTGGTTTTCACTCGCTCACCAACAACGATCCTTTGGTTTTCACTCGCTCACCAAAGAAACGAACAATGACACAACCTCTAGGACACACTGCCTCTCCAATATTTTTCTGTCTCTCTTCTCTCTTTTGGGTACACAGTAAATCTACTAGAGTGAATTACCATGCTTGTTAAGAGTAGAATAAAGAACTTGTAGATGTAGTTGGATAGACAATTGTATAGAAGGATGCATGTTTTCTTCTTTCCCAGGCTCTCGCTTTTATAGTCTTCAATAGCTCTGACCGTTGGGCTTGATTTTGCTGACCCCTTGATTTCGATAATATTCAATCAGAAGATTTTCTCCTTGATTGAGTAGATACCAAACGTGACTTCCTATTAATTCCTTTGCTCAATTCCATTTGCACCTTCAAACTAATTTGAAATCCTTCCACCAATCACTGATTTATTGGAATTTATTCCTTATATCTTGTACTTATTGATTGATGATGTGTCTTGCCAATGGTGTCAAATATATTTCCAATTTGTTGATATTCTGGACTCCATGCCTTAAGTTCATTCGATTTCTTTCCTTGTGAAGTAGACAGTATTATTGTGTATCCATAAAATGAGATCTTTCTATTTGAAGTGTTGTCAACCATGCACCAGTATATATTGAATTTTTCTTCCTTGAAAGAGCTTGGTGATTCTCTGCCTGCACATTCTTAAGTAAGATCCCTTGATTTACTCCTTCCAAGATATAGCTTGTAGTAATTCATTCAACAGCTTCCTTTCTTAGTATTGTAGCAAATCTAGCACTGCCATACAACACTTGTAGCAAGAATATCTCTTTCCTTCTACATGATATATTTTTGTCAAGTAATAATTATTCTCTCTAGACTCTTCTCATATGTACAGTATGGCTCTTANACCTTTAGGAAGCATTCTTCCATAATTCTCCAATGTTCCTTTAGTAGGTCTTGAAAAATAATATCTTTCCATAAAATAGATTGTACTACATCTATAATATATTTTCTTTCCATAGAAAATATATTCTTACTTTTCCTTGCAGTATCTTTTTCATATAGTATCTTCCTTCCACAAAATAATAGATCTTCTCCATGATTTTAGCAACTTTCCTTTCAAGATGTTGAAAGGCTTTCCATCTATAATTTCCATAGATTCTTCTTCTGATATTGTAGTAAACCATTCAATATTTGAAATTTTACTTACAAATATTATTCCTTCTAGATTAAATCTCTGAAAATAATCTTCCTTGATAAATTCTTCACATGATATTCTCTTTCCCATATTTGTTTGGATCTTACCAGCATTTTCTTTCCTGTACAAGAATAAGATTATCACAAGTAAATGTTCTTTGATTAATAATTATTTTGGTTTGTTATCATCAAAATTAATACGTGAAACCTTGAAGCTAACATCTTGGGTTGTTGTCATTGGCCTCATTCCAAGTGTAGGAACAAAAACAAATTCAGAAGTTTGACTATCTTGGGGTGCTGTCAAGGGCACATCTTGTACTTCTTGAGAAGATCCTTCTTCTTGGAAGAAGTGGCTATGTTTCCCTTTCACCTAGAAGATCAAGCAATGAAGGTATCTCATTTAGAGTTATTATAGTTAAATTTTTTTGAAGTTAATAAGAATGGAATGAGTAGCATTACCAAAGGACATTTTCTGATGTTGTGACCTCTCTCACTGCAGTATCCACAAGTCATGACAAGTCATTTTCTTGAAGCTGACCAAATCCCCTCTCTCTTCCTTGCCTCATCCTTTTCTCTCTTTCTCTTTACCTTTGGTCGACCAACCATTTTGACAATTTCTAGTGGCTCCATTGCATGATGTGGTTCTACCTTCCACAATTTTTCACCTCTAACTGGTTGTATTTTATGCATATACACATCCATGTAAGCTTCCTTTGAGTACCACCAATGCATTTCACTCAATGGCTCTTCTTTCTTGTCAATTAAACATCTAATTGCATGGGGACAGGGAATTTCTGTCAAGTCCCATGTTCTGCATGTGCACTTCTTTAGTTGAAAATTAACAGTATGCTTCTCTGGACCTTCATGCACTTTATAACCAAAGTTACTATTAAAATCAACTTCACACCCTTGTGCAATTTCTCTGAAATCACCCAATAACTCCATGACATATGGAGTGAATTCATCTCTCCAAGTCCTACATTCATCTTCACGATCTTTTAGCATTTTCATTACCTTTTAAACAAGGGAAAACCAATAATCAAACACTATGATAAGCATACATAAAATCAGTTAGTTACATAAACTACTAAAACAGTAATTTACCTTGACTCTAATATCTTCTAACATCTTGATTATTGGTTTGTGTCCTGCCTCTAGAATCCATTTATTGAATGATTCTGTGAAGTTGTTATCAACCATCTGATTCTTGCATGTTGTGTCAAAATAAGCCCTACACCAGTTTTGTGGAGGGTACCAAATTAGCTCTTTAGCAGCTTGTTCAGAAATAGTCCCTAGGGTCCTCAATTGATCCTTGAACTCTTCATCATAAGAGCTCCAAGCACACCACCACAACAACTTTTTCATTTCTGCACCCCTCCAGTTCTTGCTCCAGTTAGCTTCTATGTGCCTAACACACCATCTGTGATGTGATTTAGGAACCACAGTTGCAACAACATCAATCAAACCCTGCAACAATCAAAACAAACAAAGAAGGCTTTTAGTAATTAAAGTAAACTAACAGTGAAAAACCTAAGTGTGGCTTGTTAATGATATTACCTTTTGCATGTCTGAAATGAATGCCACTCCTTCAACATCTCCCAACTCTAAGGAAGATCTCAACAGCCCCAGAAACCACTTCTAAGTTCTACCTGTTTCTCTATCAATCACTGCCCAAGCAAGTGGATAAAAGTGTTTGGCAGAATCTTGTGCCATTGCTACCAGTAAAATTCCTTTGCATTTTCCTTTTAGAAATATGCCATCCAGACCTACCTCAACCCTGCTTTCCATCCACTTTTCAAAGCTTGGAAGCATATATACATTCTAGGAAATCTCTTCTTTCCCTCTTCCAAAGCATCTTTTGATATGTTTATAACCACATATGTACCAGGGTTACTATCCCTCAACTCTTGAGCATATGCCTCTAACCTATTATAGTCATCAATGTAGCCACCCTCCAACTTCTCTAAGACCATTATAACATTAAGTCTGAATCTATCCTCCAAGTCCACCCTCATATCTTTGACTTTGTACTTACGATTATTTTGAACTTTGTTCTTGAAATAATGGGCTAAAGCATTGGGAGTAGCTCTTCTATTCTAAAATGCTGGACCACATTCATATTTTGTGTTCAAAGTCTTAATCTTAAATCCTTGATCTCTATTATCCTTCGATATAAAACACACAAAAGGACATCTAATATCACATTTGTACCTAACTCTAGTAGTGTCACTCTTCTTAACTTTAAGGCCCTTCCTATTAGCAACTGCATAGTACCCTACAACTCTTTTAGCTTCAGCCAAGTCTTTAAATCTCATACCCTTCTCCAACTTTTTATACTTGTCTACTGTGTCATTAACGTCTTTGTTCATTTCTCTTCTAAATAGTTCTAACTCTTCACTATCATAATCACTAGAGTTAGTTCCATTAGTTTCCTCCCCATCAAATGAATCACAATCAGTTCCAACATCTACTCCTACTGTCAAATTATAAGGTTCATCATGCTGAGTGATGCTAGGAGTTGGCACATGTAATTCACCCTCATCTACAGCAAATATTTAAATCTCATTGAATTGGTTTGACAGTAAAGACTGTAGTATTCTAATGCCTGCATCACCCTCAATTAAAAAGCACCTACCAGAAGGGCATGTTACTAGTAATTGTTTCACCTCACTCAAACCTAACTTCTTAGTATATTCAGAACAAATGTCTATATAAGACAACAAATCCACATCATAACCTATCAATACATGCTTTCTTCTTTTAAGATATACCACTTGAGGTTCCAACACCCACTTACCCCCATGATTAAAGACCAAATCAACCTTCTCAATCATTCTTCAAAGAAAACAAATGCAAGCCATAAAAAAATAAGAAAAAGGACCCATCAATAATAAACAAACAGAAAAGTTAAAGAGGGCTTCTACCAATAAAGGGACAGGGAGTTAAAGAGGGCACCTACCAATAAAGGAACAGAGATCAAATACGGCCAAACAAAAGTAAACAAAAGCAAAACAGTGAATAAACAACTGAAATCAACAAACAAGTAGACCCCATATGAATAAAGAAATTAAGCATCAACAATAATTGAACCCCTAAGTCCAGACCAACAAAAAAAAGGGAAGGGACCGCATGCAATTGAAAATTTAGTAAACAAAGATAAAATCTTTGAATAAACAACTGAAATCGACAAAAAAAGACAACCCCATACGAATAAATAAACCAGATGTTACCAAAATCTAAGCGTGACCACATGCAACAAAAAAATACTACATAAAGACATCTACTAACATTGAAGACACAACTGAAACATCACAGAATATCAAAAGCAACATGAATTGTTTATTTCAAAAAACCCTAAGCAACGCAAGATCAGCAATAAAGTCTTACTTGAATGGAGAGAAGACTTTAGCTTTAAAGAGCAACTTCAATCTGTCAACTTCAGTAAAAAATTGTCGCAGAAAATCCCAAGAAGCCAAGCTCCAAAATCGCCGACCATTTCGCACTTTTTGCTTAGAGTAGATGAAGTGGGTGAAAAATGACCTAAGGTCGGGTGTTTTGGGGGGGGGGGGGTAAAACAAGGTTTGCTGGGTCGGGTCGGTATATTTGGGCTATGGATGGGGTAAAATCAGGTTTGGGGTATGACTTAATTAATAGCCAATCAGATATGGCCACGTGAAATTAATAAAATGTTTAAATAAATCACAACTCACCCGTTAGAATTAAGGGCACAAATATGCCAGATTTTTAACGGTAGGGTCATTCTTAGCAAAATAGGTTAACGAGGGGCATTTTTAGACTAGAGTTGATACATTAGGGGCAGGCCTGGCCCTTTTCCGTTTAAACTAAAACAAATTCTCTAATTTTTTTCTTCTAATATAGTTGGTCTATTTTGGATTTCTTCGTATGTTGCATCTCTATTTTTGTAAATGACACTCTAATTATTATGTTTTCTTACTATTTAGCCTCTAGGATATATTTTTTCAGCTAGCCTTTAATATATATTCACTGATTTTCTTGATAACAATTTATTTCGTCTCTTTATTTTCTCTTTATCGTAGGGGTGTTCGTCGGTCGGTACGGTACGGTATTTAGATATTCCGGTTTGGTATTTTCGGTATTCGGTTTCTTAAAATCCTATACCAATACCGTACCTAATTAAATTCGGTATGGTTCGGTTTCGGTTTATTCAGTTCGGTAACTTCGGTTTGAATACTAACTAGTGCATAGAGCCATGAACTCTAATATTCTTAATTAAAGTACTCAAAAATACAAAACTGAAAATGTTTGTTGCAAAAATTTTGTCCAAAACTAGCAAATATCGACCCAATAGAGAAATTGTACATAAAAGAATATTTGATCATTAGAAATATCTTGTTACTTGTTTAGAGTTAATTAATGAACTTAGAGAATAAAGGAAAGTAAAATCTTAGACTCTTTATATTTATGTTATAATTGATAATATGAGTTTTGTGTAATATAATATATATTTCGGTACGGTATCGGTATTTCGGTATTTTATTTTAAAATACCAAATACCATACCTAATACCAATTTTTTTCAAAAACTTAAACCAAATACCATACCAAATGCCAAAATACCGTATACCAAATACCAAAATTTTCGATTTCGGTACGATAATTCGGTATTTACCAAATTATGCACAGCCCTACTTTACCGTATCTCTACTTCATTTTCATTCAAAAACACATTATCCTTCAATAATTATGTTTTTCTCCTATGTTTGGCTATCCTTTTCTCATTTTTCTCACTAATTTCATCAACTCAATTCTTATTATATGCGCATATCAACATAACTTTATCAAGAGCCAGTTTTTAGATTGCACGTAGAATTGAGTAGAGTAAGTTCTTGAACCCACACATCGTGTAACAGATTTCCGATTAGGATAGACATACCTCATCATCTTGTTTGATTATTATACGAGAATTATGAATGCATTTTTGTTATTTCTGGTCCCATAGACATATAGGTGTTAGGTTAGCTTTAATAGGCAAGTAAGAGCTCGATAGATTCTTATGAACAATATTAACCCTGCCAGCCACCAAACCAGATAAATTAATTAGTCAATCAAGTAAAAAAATATAATAGGATAATTAAATAGTCCATAACCCTAGATCGTTTTAATCGGATTGATAATATAAAATGTGTTCTCTTTTTTCTTACGTCAGGTGCTAAGAGGTGTTCTTCTCTTCCTAATATCTCTGTCTATGGAGCCTTAAGCGGAGGCAAGACTTCTGCTAAGGGATTCAAAAAAGGAATAAGTTAAAAAATTTAAAGAGATTATCTAGTAGGAATTAAATCAATGACCTCATATTATTTTTAAACCCCCTTTACGACTAAGCCATGCTTTTGGGTTATGTGAAGAGGATTCAAAACATAATATATAGAGATAAAAATTAGACTTTACCTTATATACATAGTATAATTTTTCGGCGAAGGAGGTTTAGGTGAACACCCTTGCACCCCTCAATCCCCCCCTGTGCCCAGTGCTTAAGCTATTCAATGTACGTTACAAAAGAATCGAGCCAGTCATAAAATGAATATTTAGAAGTATCTTCACACAGTTAAATAGCTAAATCTACCCTTAAAATTTTACTAAGGAATCCTTATGAGAAACGCCAAAACATAAATATCAAACTATGAAGAGATTTTTACCTAGCTATGCTAGTTAGATTATAAACTTATTTACCTATAATAGAGATATTATCACTTAATTATGTTTCATAAACATAATTACATATTCTATACAAATTAATTAATATTAAATGAGTATCTTTTTAATAATAGCCTTTTAGTTTGCTAGATTTGACTGCACTCACCTTACCCACCCCTTGTGTCGGTAAAAATAGTACGGGCTAGCCAATTTTTGGACAGATCATTCAAAAATAGCCAGCATTTGCAAAATTATTGAAAAATAGGCACTATTTTGCTGCAACACGGAAAGTTCCAGCATAATATACCGGAGATCGGTGCACCTGTGTATGAACTTCCAGCATATTATGCTGGAACTCCAACACGCTGAAAGTTCCATTATAATATACTGAAGATTGGAGCACCGGTGCTCCAATCTCCAGTATATTATGCTGGACCGATATATTATACTGGAGTATTTTTTCTGGATTTTGAATAGTGTTTTCGTTCAGATTTATATTTACATAAAAAGTGGCTAAATTTTAATTACTTTTGAAACTGTGACTATTTTTAAATGACCATTTGTAAATTTGGTTATTTTTGAATTTCTCCCCTGCGTATGAATTGTTTCAGATTTCCTCCTTCTCTCTCTTTGGCCTCTCTAACAATATCACAAGACGACACTATTTTTACTTTCCTCTTTCATGTTCAAAAGTACTACAAATCTCTCAGTAGCAGGCAAAGTTTGGCCACTTTGGGAAAAAATTCTTTCATCGCCATATATCAAATGTGTATTGCAAGTACATCCTTGTCTAACTGGGTGAGATACATGCGTGATACATACATGATACATGTATCGTAAAAGATTTTTTTAAACTCGATTTTAACTACGAATTTCGATATCAAATCCGTCCAAATCACCTCCAATCTTCCAGAAATTATGTATATTGAGTCATCTATATGTTTTCAATGAATTTCAACCATATCCATTGAAAAAGATCTTTTTTTGCTTATATATATATAAATTTCATCAATGAAATTTCTTTTCCGTCTTGCATCTAATGTTGTTGATCACGCTTAAAATATGGAAGGAGATCTTTGCGTGCAATTCTTGGAAAGAAAGAACCTTATTTATTTGGATTTTCAATTTTTATGTGTGCAAGTCTATAATTAATGGCTAGAGATTGCTAAGTTGAAACTTAATTGGGACATTTAGAGCTTGTTTGGAAAGCCACCTTGGAAATGGATTTGGGTGTAATTGAGTGTAATTACACAGTTTGGCATGTTTGTTTGGCCAAGTAATTACTTGGTCAGCATGGAATT